ATCTATCTATCTATCTATCTATCTATCTATCTATCTATCTATCTATCATCTATCTATCCGTTCTATCTATCTATCTATCTATCTATCTATCTATCTATCTATCTATCTATCTATCTATCTATCTATCTATCTATCTATCATCTATCTCTAATTCAGTATTTCACCCCAGACCATAGCAAGAAAAGTTGAAATATGTATCTTTACTGCTTTGCTGTAGTAACTTTGCTTAGTTCTCCTTTAGGGAATGAACATCTAATTATATCCAACTTCATCTTATTTATATTGTTTGGGAGAGAAAACAGCTTGCTAACATACAGCTGGTAGCACTTATAAGATAAATGGTTTTCAGCTTAGATCGTGACCTTTCTGTTGTCTGATTTCTGTCCAGATTCTGATTAAAAAATAAGAGGCAAGATGTAGTTGCCAACTTTTTCTTTTTTGGGAAACACTCCAATACCTTTAATAGAAGCTTGGCTTACAAGTATTTAACAGGAAAATTTTTTGATATCATTTCGTCTATTGCTGGGTTGTTGTTGTTTTTTTTCCATTTTGTGTAGTTGTTAACCAATTTCTGGCAAGCACCTGCACTATTAACTATCCTAGATGGAGGTCTTGGTCTTGGTGATGTCCAACAAGATGGCTCTACTGGACTTGAATTCATGTTCCCGTTCTTTCTATGTGATAATGGCATTAATCAACCATATCAGTTTGGTTCATTATCCAATCAACAATGGTGTTTTTTTTTTTTTTTGCTGTGTATGTAGGTGCAGAATACAGACTCATAAGACAACAGAAAAATATTGGGTGGTTTATCCTTTAGAGAAGCTTGTCTCTGGTGTATTTGACTATAATTCTCATCCTCCCCAGGCAGTATTAACCAAAACTTCCATCAGAACACGGAGCTGAGGAAAACCAACATCAAGAATGCACACACAACTATTGTATTCTCAAGGGACACTTGTTTCTCTTGACAATGTCCTTGAGGTTGGAAGTTCATTTTGCTATACTCTGTGGCTGTGCAGCATTTCAGATTCTGGCAGATTCAGACAAAAAAGGTGCTCTGGGATATCTGGTTTGTGTGTGTGTGTGTGTGTGTGTGCATAGTGACTGTCTGCAAGACTTTAAATCAAAACACATATTTTTCCTAGACTTGTGCTTCAGCCGGGGAAGGAAGATGTGTGATTCCAGAAAAAGATGCAACTACTTTGAAGATAGGCTATTGGAACAGCTTGGCAGATTCTAAACCACTTTTTGCCTTTCAAATCCAAAGTATCACAAAAGCACTAGGACCAAAGGTGGTGCCATGTAGCATGTAGTTGGGGATCATGTGATGTCTATGTGATCACATTCAGAGTTGTTAGGGCCCAGAAACTCTGGGTTGGGCTCTGAGGTTGGGCCTTCTTTGTGTGAAGGAGGTTTGAGGCAAGTCCCAAGAAAACACTGTCTTTGACAGCTGCCTTAGGAAGAAAATTTTCTTGAAAGAAGACTAAGAATTTGATTTAGCTGAATAATAAAATAAGTAAATAATGCATTTTTATGGAGTCATAAAAATTTAAAAGGATTTCCAGGACTATCATATCAAAAAAGGCTACAGATAAATAAATAAATAAGTAAATGGAGAAAGCTCTTGGGCAGAGGAGGTTGTAGAACCGTGGTGCAGGCTAATTCTGCTGACTGCCAGCAGTTCAAGTCTCATTGGCTCGAGATTGACTCAGTCTTCCATCCTTCTGAGGTTGGTAAAATGAGGAGATTAACTCTGTAAATTGCTTGGAGAGGGCTGTAGTGCACTATGCAGCGGCATATAAGTCTAAGTGCTATTGCTATTTTTATGTAGCTTTGGGTTTTTTTTCTTGAAAATGCAAAATTCCTCCCTCTAGTTTGGTTTAGTGATTAAATTATCTGGCTAGAAACCGGCAGACTGAATTCTAGTCCCATTTTAGGACAAAACCACCTGGGCTTCAGCCAATTCCTCTCTCTCAGCCTTAGGAAGAAGGCAATGGCTAACCACTTCTGAAAATCCTTGACAAGAAAACTGAAGCAATTTGTCAAGCATTCTCCAAGAATGAAATAACAATTCAATGGGAAGAGAAAAAAAATGCTATCCTCCTTGTGATGTTCTTCCAGATGTTACATATGGGGAATGATATTGGCATTGGGGTGTTTATTTATTTACTTGTGTCTTAATTGATGGTTTGACTTTGATTAAAAAAACTACTTTGGTAAGTCACCAGAAGTTGGCAGCATATCCATTTTAACAAGGACAAAATCCTCCTGTTTTACCAGCTGTTTGATTCGTATTCATTTGTCCTATGTATTTAGTCTCTTACACTGTCCATGACTTTGGAGCCAAGCAAAAAGAATACAATCCTCTTAGTATAAATCATAATTTCCTAGTCACTGTAAGTACCATTTGGAATTGTGCAGGTTTCTTTGCTTCATTATATTTGTTTACAAGAAATCAAAGGGAAATGCTTCAACTGTTTTTTTAATAAAAACCCTCAAGTAACTAAAGTGAAGTAAAATCTGAATCTATTTAGATGAAATTGATTTGAAATTCAAAGAAAGCTCTATTTTTCCTACTTTCTCCTCATTTCTATCAATAAAACCAACTATAGCATCTGCTTATCTGAAATTTGGTGTATTTAATCCCCTCATAGACTTGAAAATGACCAAAAAATACAGTTTGATGATTTGAATATGCTATATTATACTCCATATAGCATATATGGAGACTCAGTGTGCTGAACTAAGCTTTAGACTTTGCTGCCATTCAGATGAGTGGCCTTTAAATCAATTCAAATTGAAGTGGCTTATGTTTTAAATTGATGAATGTTGTTTATTTATGTCTGATATAAATTGGATTTGAGAAACATTCTATTCAAATACAAAGAAACATGGAAAAGGCATCTTTTGATGCTCACCTAATAGTTAAATAGCACCAGTGGTATAAGTGAACTTAATTGGAATGTATCCCATTGATTTTCTTTTAAGTAAAGGAAGTTAAGCAAGAATGGGGCAGAAAGCTTGCTGGTTCCCTTTTCCATTCAGGTTTCTTTGCAGATAATTTTGCTTCACGCCTATCAGCTTGTGAGAGTAAGTCTTCTTTGAATAATAGTACTTTTTTATTAAAGTTTATAATTACAGTGATAAAAAGTAATGGTAACTAAAAGTATTAACAAATGAAAAGAACAGGTAGAAAGTGCAGAAAAGAATATAAAGAAAAGAAGGAAAAATAGAAATATAATAAAGAAAACTAAAAGAAATATACAAAGAAATGAGTTTCCCTTTGATCAAGCAACAGTAACTTCAGTAACTTATTACCATTGAGCATGCAATCAAATATCTTTTCTTCTCATATGTCTTATCTATAAACTACTTCTTTAAACCTTATTTTGATTCTGGTTAGCAAAAGTCCATTGAAAATTACCAGAAATAACAATATATACATTTTAACTTTGATCAAATAAGCAAACTTTATGTTATTTCCCTTTGCTTTTAACAATCTTCCTATAATGTCCTAGATTTTTTTCTTATTTTCTTCTTGCCTCTTTCAGCAAATTCTTCAAAACTTTGGCAAGTCTTTTATATCCAAAATTATTCAGCTCACTCTCCTAGTTTGTTATTTGTATATCCCTTTTAATTATTAGACATCAACCAGTTTCATTTTCATATCCAAAATAACTTCTATATCATTTTATCACTTACATTTACCTCCACATTCAAATCAGCCTCAGTCTCGATCCTGTCCGGTAAATCTTGTTCCTCTTCTATAATGTCTTTTAAATCCAGTTTGTTTATAATAATAGAAGAGAATTGTAAGATTACTTTTTGAATGCATTGTCTCCAAATAGCCTTCAGTTCTTTCAAAGCTACAGTATTTTGCTTTATTCTATTTTAGTCTGTCAAATTTAACTCTTCTTTAATTATATTTGTTTTTTTCTGCTTCCCTTTAGTGTTCAACCTTCAAAGTTCACTTTTATTATGTTTTTTTCCCTAAACAACAGCATTTTCCCATGAGAAGTTTCCTTTATAATTAATTTCAAAATCTTCATTTTTAAAAAATAAAATTCAGAATGACATTTTCCCATAGGAAGGATTC